AAGTTCGGGCAATAGATGCTTTCCTCTGGTACAATTCTGTTGACCTGATGTTCTTTCTAGCTTCATGGGTAGCTTACGTGAGGTACCATCACCATCATGTTTACATGAGGGTCAAACACTGCACCATTCTTTGTTGTGACAAGACGTAAGTTATTGTAAGTGCTCGCAGACTCCATACGTTCCAGCAACACTTAGCATGGTTTCCCGTGAACGTTGTGGGTGAACAAATTCCTGTCCAACATATTTATACAGACATACCAGCACACACCATGCACCATACACCATACACACACTTGCCCTGCCCTGTCGAGTCACTGCCACATGGGCCCAGAGGGGCAGTGGAGAGAGAATGGGAGAACACCGCCCCATGGCACCCGGGACACAAAAACAAGAGTTTGTCTATGTAGGGAGCAACACACATACATACACCAAACACACACACACACACACACAAAATGAGAGTTCGGGTCATCTGCCACGAGACTGACGTACGCCCGCGGAGAGCTTCAGCAGGCGTGTCTATTCCTGCCCTGGACCGAACGGAAGCAGCGGTCGCAGGACACACAGTATTCACCACAACACGGCTCCACTGTCGTTGGGGGCTGAGCCACACACTTGTGACAGGCAAGAGCGCCATAGCTAAGAAAGCAACGGCCACAGCGATCACACTGGCATGCTCCACGCTGCTCCTGCACACACTCTCTCTCGCTCACACACACACACACACACACACACACAACACACACACGCGTGCGCACATACTGCAAAAATGAAAGAGAGCATGAGTGTCAGATTCTTGCATAGGAAGTGTTTATCAGCACACACTTATACATGCACATGCAGGCACTCAACGACCAACTATGCACCATGCCGTATGTTCGTCAAACATAAGATTGCAATACCAAAGAACAACATAAACAAGATCACTTACTTCGTTCTCCTCCAAGTGTGTCCTGCCCAGCCAGGCCTTCTCCTGCATTTCCCTAGGCGGAATGTAGCCTACGAAATGGTTTCTCTAGACTAGGAGAAGATGCTTGGTATTCGCCATCTCTCCTGAGAAATCAGCAAAAATTTCAAAACATACGACATTATTTCGTTCGCTAATCTCCGCTACTCGTCGTCTCATCTGGCTTCAGAAGGTGTTACGAGAGATAGGAGAGTCTCCAGCAGGCAGCGCATCCATCTTCAGGAAGTGGAAAGAGCAAACGGCATGGTCCTTGGTTGAGGTAAATGCTGAACGTTTGATTTGTCCCAACCAAGATTTCAGCACTTGGTTCGTCACGATTTTCGCTTGCCAGCTAACGTCTCCGCACTCCAGCTTTCCCCTGTCGGTGTCACGTCCCAGTACACAACGGAGAGGACTACTGATAAACAGTTCACGGCACTAACAGCATTGAACACAGTACTTCTTTCACTTCGTGAATACAAGAAGACAACTGAAAATGACACAATTCTGCAGTGATCGACCTTCTCTCTCACGGAGCTAAGCAGAATGTGCGTCATCACCTGTAGTCGCCATGGAAACGGGATCGGGAAATCGGCGATATGGCAAGTTTCCCTTGCCGTACGCAAGCGAGAGATATACCATCGGAACCGATATCCAATTGTCTTTCATCTGAGCCCTACTTGAAAAATCGATGCACTTCCCCTTTAAGTTTTAGCTCCTGATCTCCAGCACTTCGAAGTACTGCTTTCACTTCTCACTCGTCTTACTCTTGCTCTACCGTTGACTGTGTTGTTATTAGTTTTTTTTTAATTTAGCACATTGATGTGCATGTGCCGGTATGTCTCAGTACATTGCGTTCATCGTCTGTGTTTTAAGCCGAATTCAATTGTTGCATTTTCGTTACTGTTCATCAAAAGGTGGATAGTTGCTCATAGCTCGTGTGGAGAGTAGCCGGACTTACTTGTACAGTGAAACCTGTCAAGGCGACCACTCGGATAAGGCAACCATCTGTCCTAGAAGACCACTGAAACCAGGACTAAGGGATGTCATTTACAGTCAAATGATCCTGGATACGGAGACCACCTGGTAACAGAGATCAGGTTTTGAATTGAAGGTCAATGAGCGGTCGCCTTAGACAGGTTTCACTGTACACACCAGGTGGTCTCCTTATCCAGGGGGTCATTTGACTGGAAATAGCATTCCTGGGTACTGGTTTCAGTGGTCTTCTATGACAGGTGGTTGCCTTATCCGAGTGGTCGCCTTGACAGGTTTTACTACATGTACTCATGGCTTGTAGCGAGAGTACATAACCCCCATGTACTCTTGCTTGTATGAAGAGAACATCGGTGCATGGGACAAGGCGCAACATGGGGACTTTGGGTGGTGCGGCTTTGTGGAATTTGTAATAATGTACTTGCCTGGAAATGAACATTCTTGACGAAAATCCCGCGTTGCACGATTTGGATGCATGAACTCGAAATAGAGTCTTCAGGTGCTAATGCCCTGTGTCATGGTATTTCTCACAATTTAATGGGAACAGGATCTCTGTGTGGTGAGAAGGCATACCAGTAATATAAGGTATACATGCATGTGAACTTGGTGAAGTAAAACAGAATAATCCAGAGCAGAAGCTGGGGCAGAGGGGGTGATTCTCACTGCATTAATTAATTTTGTCTGATGATTGCTACCACAAGCTCCCAATCCTAAATTCTGAATTTTGCCTCCTCCCAGTCTCTTCTAGCTCTGCTTCCATGATGTTTATATACATGCACTATACACAGTCTCTCTCATGTACATGCACTATACACAGTCTCTCTCATGTACATGCACTATACACAGTCTCTCTCTCATGTACATGCACTATACACAGTCTCTCTCATGTACATGCACTATACACAGTCTCTCTCATGTACATGCACTATACACAGTCTCTCTCATGTACATGCACTATACACAGTCATGTACATGTACATGTACTTGTACTTGGGCGGGAAAAAATACAACAAGTGATGTAAATCACTTTCCAACTGCATAACCCACAGCACCATCCACAGCTTCTCACCTTCTCATAAACTTGTCTCTTATTGGCGATGGTGGCATCGTGAGAATAAAGAATTTAAAAAATACAACAACAACAGCAGCAGTCAATTTCACCGGCTATAATTATCACCTCGCTGTGAGTAAGACCGCTTGAAATGTGTGTTTACTGCCAATGAGATACCATGCCCAAACTGTATGGAAGGCTATGATCTGGCCAGACCAATCAAAAACATGCTTCTGGCGGTCCTGAATTCAAGTGCTATAAATCAACTAATTTTCGCTGATGATTTAATTTCGCTGATGTCGCCGCTTGGTGCCAACCGGCCAAAGTAAATCGCAGGCTAAAGTTTGTCACAGAGCAAAAGATGCTAGGTTGAACCCCAATCGGCCAAAGTTTGTTCACGGCCAATGTTTCATTTCGAGATTGGCCAAAGTTTCTCACCGGCCAAAATTGGTTGATTTACAGTATGATTGGGTTGTTGTTTGTCACAAACGTGCCTTTGATAACTCACTCAGTGACTACAAACAAGACTAAGATGTAAAAGGGAATTCTTCTTCCGTGAACAAAGATTACAAGACTAGTTCTGGTAAGAAAGGAAAAGTGCGCGGGTACGCGAATGCACCCTGCTAATATGGTGAGTGCAGCGGATGTGAAAAGTGAGAACTACAGACGGACACACGTGTGCACACAGACAATGGATTTCAGAATGCGACAGAGAGCAGACGACAGATCAATACATGAATGTGTAACCGGGGCCGGTTGTATAGAATCATACACCCCCTCCTTGCTCGAATGCAAGGATGAAAGACATGCATGCACGAGAACGATTAAAAGAAGAAACCTGAACGGCAGAACTGCTGAGCAACTGGAGCAGAGAAAGGAAAAGAGAAGAATAGAACAATCATGCAACGCATTCACTTCTAGCAATCATCTGTGGCGCAGCTCACTCGTCCTCCGAGTCCATCTCCAACGGATAAGACGGCTGCAGCGGCTTGCCAGTCGACAATGCAGTCACTGTGGCGCTGTAACATTGCTTCTGCGCCGAAGCGACCCACCACAGACCGGCGTAGTCGACTTCTCCAGGCGAGAGCTCGGGCACCGTCGCCTCCCGCTCCTTCGGAGAGCCCGGGGTGTATCGTACGGTGACCGCCACCACAGCGTCGCTTGCCGCTGGGGGTAATATCGACTGGAGATGACTGGGGCCGTCCCCCTTCTTGGTCAGCCGCACATACTGTCGGCGGCAGTTGCTGATGAAGCGGCAACACCAGGCTGTGATACACCGCAACCTTGACCAGGAAGAGAACCGTTCCGGGTGGAGACAGAAACCGGCTGCCGTCGTGCTGAGGAAGGACAGGGCTTGGTGACGCTTGGTTTCACCGAGCAGCTTGTCCGGGACCACCATGTCACGATTGGGCCACTCTGACTCTGGACGGCGAAGAAACTCCGACCCGCTCCACCAAACGTCGCACTTCGCGAGGCTAGATGCCGTCATCCCGCGCGTCGGCAAGTCGGCGGGGTTGATCTTTCCTGGCACGTGCCACCACTGTTTGCTGGTCGATACCTGCTGAATTTCGGCAATCTTGGCGCCAACGTCCGTGGCAAACCGTCGACTGTGTGCTCTCACCCAGAACAAGACATTCATGCTGTTTATCCAGAAGTGATGCTGTGCGACAGGTATGTTCAGTGCTGCTGCGACCACCTTGCTGAGCAACACACCTTGGACGGCTGCCTTGAGCTCTAACTTCGGGATGGTCATCTTCCTGATCGGCGACAGCCTCGACTTCGACAGCGCGAGGGTCACCTTGACTCGGTCGTCGGGGTAGACTGCCCTGACGTAGACCGCCGCTGCAAATGCCGCATCGGATGCGTCCACGAAGGTGTGAACTTCGACTCGCTCACACGGTGCGCCATCCGCGAACTTGAAGCGCGATCCACTTGTATAGACGAGAAGTCTGGCAGTTCGGCGAACCATCGCTTCCACTGGGCAGCTTCCTTCTCCTTCAGCGGGTCATCCTACTCGTAGCCGAGGATGCACAGCTCTTGGAAGAGGACTCGCGCTCGCATTGTGAATGGTGTCAGCTGACCTCGAGGATCGAAGATGGTCGCAACCTTCCGCAGTGCGGCACGCTTCGTCAACTTCTGGGTCTCTGCCCGTGGGTGGTAGACGAAGGTGAACTGGTCCCTGTCTGCCAGCCATGTGATGCCCAGCGTCTTCGACGACGGCAAGGTGCAGTGTGCGTCGCTGCTCACGTCCACGGTTGCTAGCGGTGCTCTGTCCTCTTCAGGGATTGCTTGCAACACGCTGGGTGAGTTGCTGAACCACTTGCGTAACCGGAATCCACTCTTCCCGAGCAGCTCTGTGAGACCCTGCTGCGCGTCCAGGGCAGCCGCTTCGGTTGGGAACGAGTGAAGCGTGTCGTCGAAGTTGAAACTGTCCTCCACCAGCTTCACGAGGTCTGCGCTCGCCGTGACATCAGACGAGAAGTCGTAAGCTGTCTGCAACAATGCCCGTCCGGCCAGGTATGGCGACGACTTCAGCCCGAAGACGAGGCGATTGAACTCGTACTTGCACAGCTCGTTGGTTGCACTACACCACACGAACCTGGCGTAACGCCGATCCTGCGGACGGAGGCTGACTCGCAGGAACATTTCGCTGATGTCCCCACGAGTGCGACGGATTCTGCCGAGAAGCGCAGCAAGATGTGAACGATGTCGTTCTGCAGTTTCGGGCCGGCGTGCATGTCGCAGTTGATGTTGTGTCTGGCCCAGGATGCCGCTGTGTCGAACACGACTCTCACTTTGGTCGTCCTCTTGTCTTGACGGACGATCGGGAAGTGTGGCAGGAACCACTGGTCAGATTTGTCGGCCAGTACCTCCGCGTCCGGCACCTGGCGGATGTAACCCTTGCTGAGGTGTGAGGAGATGACACCGTTGTATGCCGTGCGAATCTCAGGCTTCGACGATAGCGTCTTCTCGAGGTTTGCCAACCGACGCGCTGCCATTGCGCGGTTGTTCTGGACGATGGGGCCACCTGGGTCGGTCCAGGGGATGCCGACCTCGTACCGCTCGCTATCGTGTCAGAATGCGGCTGTCGTCATAGTTTCAGCTTCGCGCTCTGCTAGTGTGTGGTAAGTCCGATCTTTCTCAGCGAGGCCAACCGCTTCGACGTCCCAGAAGTTGCGGACGATGTCGTCAAGCTGTTGATCCAGCATCTCCATGCAGTTGTCTGTCACCAGCGTAATGGCATAGTTCGTGGTGGCATCACGCGGCGAGTCCGGTGCGACGCGGCCATAGCACACCCATCCCAGAGGTGTTCGCCGTGCGACAGGCGCATCTGGAGGTCCTCTGCGTTCTTCCAGAGCATGGTGTACAGCCGGGGCGTTCAGACCGATCAGGAGTCCGATCTCCGTCTCCCGGTGGTCGGGGAATGACACGTCCCGGAGATGCTACCACTCGGATTTTCAGCTGCTCCACTCAATCGGTCGAGTCCCGCCACCGGTCACTTACTCCAGCACCCAACAGTTGACAGGACTGGTGACCAAACCGTCCACGCTCTCGACGTCCAGTGCGACGCGTTGCCGGTCTGACTCGGACATCCGTCCGCCGAATATTGTGACGACGAGAGGCTCAGGCTGAGACTTCAGGCCGAGGGAATCCGCTACCGACTGTTGCACATAGCTCGCTGTTGATGCTGGGTCGAGCAGGGCAATGCATGTGACCTCTCGTTCTCCATTCTTCAGGCAAACTGGTACCGTCATGAACGAGATGCTGTCAGTCTTCTGCGGGTCGACTCCATCGTCGCGCTGCTTCTTACTGGCGTCATTGTTGTCGTGGAATGTCCGTCAAGCAGGAGCCCTGGCCTGTGGGTGGCTTGCTGGATTGCGCGGGTGATGACGCTGGCTTTGGCTGTCCTTGCCACTCTCGGCAAGCGGGCTCCTCTCCCAGTGCAAGAGGCCATGGTACCTTTTCTTGCACTTCTGGCAGGGTGCAGCATTGCACTCCGTGGCGCGATGACCTGGGCGTAGGCAGCAGATGCATGCCTGGCTTGGCTTCACCAGGTCCCAGCGAGCTGACACGTCCATGTCCCTGAACTGCAGGCATTGCGCGAGACCATGGGCGCCGTTGCACTTAACGCATGTTGGCTCCGGTGTTGGTCGTTCGCCTCCGGTAGCTTCTGTGGCCACGAACGAATGCTCTAGCTTCTCGCGGGTGGTCTAGCCTCAGGCTCTTTGTTGCGGCATGGATGTCTCTGGTCTCTTCACGGGCCGCGCTGTATCTTCCCTTGCAGCCAGCCGGGCGGTGCACTCGGTCCAGGATCCATTCCGACAGAGTGTGGACGTCACTGGTGGCGTCATCGTGGCGTTCCATGTACCTGAGCAGCAGAATGCGCGGTAACTTCTGCGTCCCTGTCAGGTACATCTTCCTGCCAGGCAACAGGTGGCAGGTACGCATGTTAAGTAGCACGTTACGGAGCTTGACGGCCAGTGTAATGTTCTGCAGCGCTGACGTGTCCTTGTCGTGCTGGACCTGCGGTAGCGCATGCAGTTCCTTCTCCTGCCGTTCCAGTTCGCGTTCACTACCGAACCACGCATCTAACTCCGCCATGGCTGAATGGTATGCACCGTCGCCGTCCAGTACGTGTGCTATCAGCTCTTCTGCAGCGTCACCTGCTAGAGCTTCTCGCAGACGCGCTATCTTGTAATGGTAGGACACGTATGGGTCGTCATCCACCAACCGTAGGAACCGCTGCTTCCAGGTCATGTAGGTCTTCTGCTGCCCATTGAACTTTGGCAGCTCCAGTGGTTTGATCTGGCCTTGTCGTATGCCTTGGCGCCAGTCAGGCACGCCGTCCACCCAGGTCTGCACTCTCTGCATGGCTGGTGGAGGCAGTGTAACCTGCTGCTGCTGGCTCAGGCTCGGACCTCTCAGTCTGGCCACGTATGACGGTGCTGTAGCACGATTCAATGCTGGTGCTTGCACAGCTTGCAGGACTGGAGGTGGTGAAGGTGCAAGCTGCGCTGCAGCATGATTCAATGCTGGTGCTTGCAGAGCTTGCAGAACTGGAGCTGGAGGTGGTGGAGGTGTGAGCTGCGCTGCAGCATGATTCAATGCTGGTGCTTGCACGGCTTGCAGAACTGGAGCTGGAGGTGGTGAAGGTGCGAGCTGCGCTGCAGCATGATTCTATGCTGGTGCTTGCACAGCTTGCAGAACTGGAGCTGGAGTGGAGGTGGTGGAGGTGCAGCCGGGTACACGCGAGGTGGTGGCCTGGGACCCGAGATCACAGGCAGCGATTCAAACGATTCAGTCAACTGTGAAACTGACAATGACACAGACGATCGCGCGTCCCGTCCAGCATAAGCAGTTCACGCTTCGACAGCCTGCCTTAGGCCATGTCAACCTGTCTGATCCGCGCAGTCACTTGCTGCTCTCGCTGAAGCTCCTCGTTGCTCCGCAGTTGGTATTCCCGCATCCGACTGGTTGTGGTCAACGCCGCGTGAAGGAACATCTCCTCGAAAGTGGCGGCCTGTTCGTGGCGTCGCAACACGTTTGCTGTGAGTCCACGACTGCGGTAACTGGGAAGGCCCTCGTCCACAACCGACCCGACCGCCAGTCCCAGCTCCTCTTCAGCCGTCGCCTTCTCCAACGCCAATTTCTTGGTCACGACTTCTCTCTGGAGCTCGAGTTGTCTCTGGGCAGCTGCCAGCTCAAATTCTGCCAACTCCTAGCTGGCTTTGAGTTCGGCCTCCCGCACGCGAGTCTCTAGACGAGCGGCGCTGTTTCTACTGCGAGAAGAAACTGAGCTGCGTGCCTCGCTCCATCCCAATCTTTCGGGTGGTTGTCCTAAATTCACGCGCGAACTCCTCCGCGATCCGCCATTGCGAACTGCTCCGCTCCGCCATTGCGAGCACCTCCGCGATCCGCCATTGCGAACTCCTCCGCTCCGCGATCCGCCATTGCGAACTCCTCCACTCCGCGCTCCGCCATTGCTAAACTGCTGTACTACTGGAACTGTGTCCAGTGTCCAATCGTCTGCCATCGAATCCGGCTCGAAGAACCATATGGCTTGTTTGTCACAAGCCTGCCTTTGATAACTCACTCAGTGACTACAAACAAGACTAAGATGTAAAACTAAAAGGGAGTTCTTCTTCCGTGAACAAAGAATACAAGACTAGTTCTGGTAAGAAAGGAAAAGCGAGCGCAAGTGTAACTGCTCGCCACAACTACAAAACAAGAATGCAAAGTGCGCGGGTACGCCAGTGCACCCTGCTAATATGGTGAGTGCAGCGGATGTGAAAAGTGAGAACTACAGACGCACGCACGTGTGCACACAGACAATGCATTTCAGAATGCGACAGAGAGCAGACGACAGATCAATACATGAATGCGTAAACGGGGTCGGCTGTATAGAGTCATACAGGAACAATACTGAAGGATTTGAACGTCTTTTTCATTTGATGATCATCAGAAATCTTCGTCACATTGACAGTTTGACTACAAAGGAAAGATATTTATGGTACCATAAAGTGAACATTACTAGATCTAAAACTAATACAAGAAACACTACTAGTAGTATTCAAAAGCTAGTACTATTGAAGGTGTGATTACATGAGCAGCGAGCAGTGTGAAACTCAAAGCATGCGTAGATTGGAGAAGTCGATGAGGAAGAGCTGGTTGATAAACGCATTGATAGCCGTGTAATTAGCCTTGATACAAAGTCATGTATGCAAAGGCGGACACACATGTACAATCATGTACATGTACATGTATGCGAAGGCGGACACACATGTACATATACATGTGGAAGGCCAGTAGTTCTCACAGTACACGAAGAACAGTTTAGGAGGGACTCAGGGAGAGCCCCTAGAGACGCAGCAACCAGCAGGCACGTAGCTCCTATGGAACGGGGGGGGGGGCACGGGGGCACGCCCCCCCCCCCCCCTCCTCCTTGCCCGACCTAGCGACCTAGGTCCAGCATGCACACAATGACCATGAATGACATGTACCAGCCACCTAACACATACACCCTACACATATCCGGCCGTGCATTCATTAGAAAGGGAACCAGCTATGCCCCTAGCGAGGTTATTGTATTTTTAGAACTTTCCACATAATACACAGACAATATGTGAAGCTGGAATTGTTAATAACTGGTACGGCCATGCCCGCATCAGCCTTACCAGTGGGGCCGGCCCTGTTTTCCAATTACTGTACCCAAAGACAACATTGACCACTCACAGTGTGCAATGTGCACACATTGCTACTGAAGGTAGTAAAGATTGACAATGTCACACATTGCTACTGAAGGTAGTAAAGATTGACAATGTCACACATTGCTACTGAAGGTAGTAAAGATTGACAATGTGCACACATTGCTACTGAAGGTAGTAAAGATTGACAATGTCACACATTGCTACTGAAGGTAGTAAAGATTGACAATGTCACACATTGCTACTGAAGGTAGTGAAGATTGACAATGTGCACACATTGCTACTGAAGGTAGTAAGGATTGACAATGTCACACATTGCTATTGAAGGTAGTAAAGATTGACAATGTCACACATTGCTACTGAAGGCTGTAAAGATTGACAATGTCACACATTGCTACTGAAGGTAGTAAAGATTGACAATGTCACACATTGCTACTGAAGGTAGTGAAGATTGACAATATCACACATTGCTACTGAAGGTAGTAAAGATTGACAATGTCACACATTGCTACTGAAGGTAGTAAATATTGACAATGTCACACATTGCTACTGAAGGTAGTAAAGATTGACAATATGCACAGATTGCTACTGAAGGTAGTAAAGATTGTCAATGTCACACAATGCTACTGAAGGTAGTAAAGATTGACAATGTCACACATTGCTACTGAAGGTAGTACAGATTGTCAATGTCACACATTGCTACTGAAGGTAGTAAAGATTGACAATGTCACACATTGCTACTGAAGGTAGTAAAGATTGACAATGTCACACATTGCTACTGAAGGTAGTAAAGA